TCATTTATTTGCGCACTTATTTATGAACACCTTTAAAAAATTTAAAAATTAAACACTAACCTTATCGACCTCCCACCATGCAGGATAAAGTTTAGCTTGTCCATTGCCCAACGAAAATGATTCATCTCGTTGATTCTTCAAGTGAACTGCGTGAAAAGCCGCCGGGCATTATTGTATATCACAAAATTTTTTTATTTTTCCTAAGCTTCCTTATTATTAGAAGACGTTACACCCACACATCGATATGTTGTTTTACAAAAAAAGACATATATTAGTGAATTACATTAATTTTTAAAAAAATTAATCAAAATCATATATAAGACAAATATAAGACTTACCTCCCCATCGAAATAGCCACTGTCTTCAACCCCTAATAACACACCCCACCAAGACCGATTAAGCAACAAATACATCTCATCGTTGAGTTTGCTTATGTCAGTGTAACACCCTTGGCTCCGCTCATGTAGATAAAAATCAACTGCGGTCTTAGCCCAAAGGGTATTATCCAGAATTGTTTCCGGTAGTTGTCTCCTCTCCACTTCAGATACCGGAAGGGTACTAGCCGGTAACTCATATGAGAGCCAACTCTCATCCATCATTTCCGGTAACGGTGGGGGGTTTCTCAATAATTCGATATATTACCCCATGTGAATCGGGCTCTGGAATGGTGGGAGGGACCTCTTCAACGATGACAGTGGCCTCTTGAACGGTGGGGGGACTCTTGAGGGATGATAGGGGCCTCTTGAACGATTGGAGGGGACTCTTGAGGGATGACAGGGAGTCGGGCTTCTTCTTGCGGAGTCTTCGCACCATTGGGGTGAACGGAGACGTAATAGAACGTGCACGCCGTCTGATGCGTGAACTCCGTCGTGCAAGGAAAACCCGACGTAAAGCATCCACCTTATCGGGCCGCTAAAAAAAATTAATACATAAATCAGTAAATAAACAGACATGATATTAAACAAAGACAAATATGTTTCAAACTTGCATTGTATTCACCCAAGTCATTATTCTATCATAGTTCACAAAATGCATCAGATAACATTCCAGAAGTAAGCACTTATATAAACATTTAAAAGGACAACATATATAAACATTCCAGAAGAAGAATAGTTTACTTTCGCAACACGAAACTTACTTTCGCAACGCGAAAATGACTATCGCAACTCAGAAATGGCTATCGCAACGCGGAAATGGCTATCGCAACGCAGAAATGGCTATCGCAATGCGAAATGAAAATCGCAACGACAAAATCGCAACGCGAAACACAAATCGCATTGCGATTTTCATTTCGCGTTGCGATTTTGTCGTTGCGATTTTCATTTCGCATTGCGATTTTGTCGTTGCGATTTTTATTTCGCATTGCGATAGCCATTTCCGCATTGCGATAGTCATTTTCGTGTTGCGAAAGTAAACTATTCTTCTTCTGCAAATTGAAACTTGAATGGATTGCATTACTTCAACCAAAAGACAAAAACAAAACCAAAAACAAATACTAACAAAAACAGTTTAACAGTATTGGCAATAACCGAATGAATTTATTAAGCAATCTAAGTGAAATGGTTAATCTAAGTGAAATTACGAGTAAATTTATCATCAAGTTAAATATGAAAAATCTTAAACTTACCTCGTTGCGTAGAGTATGAACCTCATTCTGCAACGATGCTACCATCTCACGTAGAGCGGCTACCTCACCGCGTAAAGTAGACACCTCAACACGCCATGCACCATCGTCTTTGCGTAAAGTACCGACCTCCTCACGCAAGGCATTGACCTCAACACGTAACTCCCCTAACTCATCCCGTGGAGGTGGAGAACAGGGAGATAAACATCGTGGCAACTTTGCCGGTCGCCTATCTTGCGGTGATGGTGGAGAAGAGGCTCGATGATGTGACAGAATAGGTGATGGCTGTCGTTGTGGAGGTGTATAGTCGGGTCGATCAGGTGATGGCTCTGGGTGAGGTGATAGCTCTGGGTGAGGTGATGGCTCCCGAAGTGGAGGCTGCTCATCATCCGTGCCATCAAAAAAACGCTTACTAGCTTGCCACCAATCAGTGGCAAGCTCAGCTTCCGTGGGTGTCAGCCTCTGTAATGGAGTGTTGGCCTCCTAACAATATAAAAGCTCAAACAAAGTTAAACGTGTACTAGTAATAACTTGTTTATAAACATATGGTAGTATTTATGTTAACTTACATTATTTATTGTCGTATACTGTAGTAAATCTTCCCATTGTAAGGTCCGTTTCCTCTTCCAGGAAATAGCCCTGGGAATATCATTTGAAGTTTTTATTGCATATGTCTTCATGGCGGGAAATTGCCTCAAATATCCAAATCTACAAACAATATAATAACAAACATTAGTAATTGTTAAATAATTACTTATAATTTTGGAAACATTATATAAAAATTCTTACCTTAAAGGCCCAAATAAAGCCTGTCAAAGTGTATTTGGAACCATCGCCATGCAAACTTTTTCGATCATCCAAGGCAGACGATAACTTATTCCATGTAGCTTTCCATAAATACGAGCCCCACGGAAACAGTTCCACGCATTTAGGTCTTCTACCAATTTGATTAGATCATTCGGAATAGGTTGTCTGGCCTCTCTGCCTAAAAAGCTGGCATGCAAAAGTATTAGAAGGCATACTCGGACAACATCGACGTCATCCATCCGAATAAAACCATCTTTCTTATTCAATAATCTCGTCAGGTCTTCCACGTGTAGATTCGACCTCTCCAGCTCAGGAAAAACCTGGGATAACCATGATGGGCGGGTAATGTGTCTAGTGTACCGATCTACATCATCGTGTTCGAAGCGTAGACCGGTGATTAAGCAAAACTCCTCCCGCCCAAAACACGTATACGCCGGTGGAAAATCAAACATATCTCTTCATCACGACGTTGTATAGTATCTGGTAGATCGCTAGTCATGGTTTGAAGAAACAGGTGTGTCAACATCGCATCTCCACCGGGATGTTGTACTTTCAGCCATGGCCCGAAGCAAGTATCCTCAAACATTTTTCTTTGTGCAGGTGAAAGCTTCGACGCAATTGTTTTGGCCAGGCTGACTTTATTTCTTAAGGTCAATTGAGCTGAATAAAAGTTCTACAAAAACAATAAACATACTAAGTTAGATATACCAAAAACTATACTGTAAAGATATACCAAAAACAATAATAAACATAAAGAGTAGTAGTTTATTCTTCAAACTTAAATTTGCAACACTGTGAATTTCTTATTTGTCTTTGTTTTTTGGTTAAAGTAATGCAATTCATTCAAGTTTCAATTTGCAGAAGAAGAATAGTTTCTGAAAATGAAAATCGCAACACGAAAATGACAATCGCAACGCGAATTTGACTATCGCAACGAGAGAATAAAATCGCGTTGCGATTTTGTCGTTGCGATTTTTATTTCGCGTTGCGATTCTCGGTTGATTTAATAAGCAATCTAAGTGAAATGGTTAATCTATTATTGAAATTACCAGTAAACTTATCATCAATTTCAATATGAAAAACCTAATAATAATGCAAAAATTTCAAAAAGAAAATAATTAAAAAAACTAATCATCGGTGGTTGATTTGGTTGATTTTCCATTTCTGATTGTGAGGGTGGCTCTGAGAGATGGAGATAGACGGATTTCGTCGGAGATGGGGACGGATTTCGTCGGAGATGGGTGAGAGAGTGAGAGATGGAGATGGAACTGAGTTGTGATTTTAGGTTTTAGGTTATGAGTTGCGATTACGGGATATACTATGGACGGTTCAGTGTTCCAATATATTAATATTCGTGTTTGGAATTTGAAAATAAAATACGCTTTGCGATACTAATGGCGCTTTGAAAATCGCATTGCGACTATATATTATCTCGTTGCGAAAGTCAGTATCGCGTTGCGAAATTAAGTATCGCGTTGCGAAAGTAAGTATCGCGTTGCGATTTTGTATTATCGCGTTGCGATAGTTAGTATCGCGTTGCGATTTTCCAAATTCGCATTGCGATTTTCCAAATTCGCATTGCGATTTTCCAAATTCGCATTGCGATTTACTTATTCGCATTGCGAATTGGGAAAATCGCAACGCGAAATTGGAAAATCGCATTGCGATAGTCATAATCGCGTTGCGAATCTGGAAACTGATTTGCGATAATGGAGATCGCGTTGCGAATTAGCGATCGCATTGCGATTTTGTTGGTCATTTTGGCAAATCCGGAAAAAGTTGGTTAAAATCGTATATTATATGAGATTTTTGGTCACTGAGGTTATTTTCTCTAATATTAATGATTGCAATGAATTACCGAAATTCAAACAATATTGGTAATAAAAGAATTGTTTTATTATTTGAGCTTTCGAGTTCGAACATCAATGTCAGAGATATAAAAATTTAACGTCAAATGATTAAAAATCATCTTTAAACATATAATATCTTATACTTATTCCCAAATGAATAAAAAATTCATAACTAATTAAACCTCTAGATTTATAGAAAGCATTGATTTTACATATGAACATTAACTTATATGGTGTCTATCACCCCAAATTATAAATTTAAATATTTAAATTATTTATAATTTTATTAAAAATATTTTTTTTATAAATTCTAAATCTATCTCCATCCTTGGAAAGGGGGTATAAGAGAAGAAGAGAAATACTCTTAATAGGTCCAAAACACATAACTTAAAAAAATATGAGGTAATAAAGATGAACAATATGACCATCGGACCAATCTATAGCCCATGATCTAAGAAAATATAAGGTAACAAATATGAATAATTTGACCAACGGACCAAATATGTTTACTCAAATATAGTTTTTTTTTTTAAATAGAATGTATTAAACATATCATATTAATTATTTTTTGTATTAAACATACCATGCCGACAGTGGGTAAAAGATGATAATATCATAAGCTCACCGTAATTAACAAACTATAACAATGGTAAGAGATGAAGCAGTGGGAAAGAAAGAAGAGATTTGGATTTTGGGTGGTGCAACTCATACTAGGCAAAGAAACAACAATTGACGCATCTCTTTATAAAACTGGTATGAATTCTATAAAGCAATAACTTGAAAGAAACAATTTTACAAGTATTCCCACTAATCATATAGAACCAAAAACAAATCAATACAACAACACTCACCACCACCATTACAGAAAAGATAAAAACGATGTCGGGCCCTCCTTCCAGCTTGTTCCGTGAGTTTCTCGCCACTGATTGCAGTCGGTGGGGTCATCAGATCCCTAGCAGGAAAGAGGAGTAAAGTTTGAGCAAACCCCAAATCAGAAATGAATGCTCGACCGTTAAAACATTTAACTCTGGCATAGGATACACGAGGAACAGTTGAGGGTCATTAAGGAAGAACCATCATCACTTATGGTGTAGGGTCCCCGATCGTTTTCCGCTCGAATTCCTTGATGGTGTTGGCCAGTTTCTTCATGTTATCGTCGTAGACGTAGGGTAGTTTATTGAACCAGGTCACATTGTTCTTGGACGATGGAGGGATGAATTCTCTGCAGAGCTCCTCGTGTACGGTAATGGTGTTGTGATAGTGATAGTAACGAATCTTTCTTTCGGTTTTATGTAATGCTTTCCCGATCACATTCTCCGACATGTGAACGCCCGTGGCGTACGCATTCTTTGCCTGAATTGCATATTTCCTGTCACGGCGAATTCCAGTTCTTGATTCCCGAAAGAGCAGCTTCTCGAATCCCCATTGCCTGCGAGAAATCATATGGGATAAATGAATAACATTAACATATGATTTGAATGAGTTTGATTCCTTCTGCAGTGATCTAATGAACCTATGTGACCGAACCGTGCTTAAACTCAGATCCAGATCCAGGACTTAAAGTGAAAAATTTATTATCATTTTCAAGATTGTCTTTAATATACTATCGTTTTCGAGGGGAGATGGTGACTGAGGAGATTTACCTGGAATATTGTTGAGAGGAATCATTCAAGCAGAGCACACTGGACATTGGGTTCTGCTCAATAGTGAACTGTGTATAATTGGAGAACTCATTCAACACTGATTCCAAAATGTTTCCATCTGGTAAATAGATATACTCGTCCACGTCGAAGAAGAATGTCCAATTAGCAGCATGTCGATAGCGATGCAAGCAATCATTCACAACCAAGAACTGGTTATAATAATACCCATCGAATTGCGCCTGGTCACGGATATCCTGAACCGTAGCCCTTCCGGCACGCACCCAAGGTTCGAGAACCGCCCTGACCTCCGGCGAGACACCACCAGCATCATGAAACACGAAATGCGAGCTCGGTCCAAAGAACCAAGCGTGGTAAGCCATCCATTCCCTCATCCTATCGGCGTTGAGGTTCCCATACAGAGACGACCCACAGTATAAATACTCGTACTGAAACGGTGGGTGGTACTTGGCTTCATTGTAAGATCCCGACGACTCCTCCAGCGCCGTGAATCTCTCGTACTTCCTGGGGGACTCGCCGTAGTAGGCGTTGATCATCAGCTTACCACCTAGGTTGTCTTGGTTTGGGTTGAAAGGGAAAGTGCAATTCACCACCACCACGGTGTAAACACGCCCATATCCCCAATCGGGAAGCATTTTGTAAGCCAATGCTCTAAAAGAAGAACCATTATTCGAGATCCACTCGCATTTGTACCATGGTCGACCGAACACGTGAACGGGTTTCGAAGCCAAACCCACCACCGCGAACGTCGTGGAACCGCCCCTGTAAGCACCCATCTGGACAAACAAGGCGGCCGCATTACCGTGAGCCTCGAATACACGTTTATTTGGATCTCTGGGTTTAGCTTTGGGATCGGAGTAGTACTTCTTTTCAGCAACCGGAGTAGCCGTATAAGGGAGCGATGCATTGGTGGACAATAAGCTAGTGGAAGCGGCGGCGGAGGCGGCGACGGAGGCGAGAGAAGTGGCCGAACAGGGACGTGTGGCGGTAGAGAGGTTCTGCAAGTAAGGAGGGAAATTCCAGAGAAGCATAAGCAAGGTGAGAGCTAACAATGTGACAACCAAAGGTTTAGTCTCAAAGCATAGGAAAAGCTTGCCAAGGGCGGAAGGGGCGGTTGAGGGCGGCGGTTCTTTCCTCATTGCGGTGTCGGTTGTGGCAGAGAAAGTGATTTTGTAAAATACCCGAAACGGCAAGGAACGAAAAGGATCAGACCGACAGTTTTTATTTTATTTTATTTTCAGTGAGTTGGACCCCTGCCTCGGCGTCACTCGTCTTCCTAAGCAATTAATTTATGAGGAATATTTATCATAGAAATGGTACTGGTTAACATTTTAGGTCTTGATCTCCAGTAATTTACCGAAATGACACTCTAGTTCTAGTTACCCAAGAGTTGGGGATTTGCTATAGGCTTTTACAACGGCTCCCTGAAATGACAGCAATCATCATCCACCCATTTATTTCACTAACAGTGAATTATTACTGGTAAATTATGCGTTTAATATTTAAATTATCAGTTTTGATTTATTTTAATACTTAAACTTTCATTTTTTTAAATATTAACGTTAAAATTTACTAAACTTTAACTATGATTTTAAAATTGAAAGTTTAGGTATTAAAATGAACTAAAATTGATAGTTATTTACTAAACATGTAATTCACCCATTATTATTATAATTTATTTTGCCTTTACATTAAAGTAGAGTGTGCAATTTCGGATATCGAATCCGATCCATTTCAAAAATTCGAATAAATAGTTATCTTCATATGATTCGAAAAATCATATATCCAAATTTTTGGATCAGAATATGAATATCTGAATCCGAATTTAAAATTTAATTTAAAAAATAATTTTAAACTTTGTGATTTAATATAACTTATTTGATATTTCTACTATATTTTAATATATTTAATTACTCATAGACAATAAATAATTAAATATCTTAATTTTTATTGGGTTAGAGCTTTAATGAATTAATGAGTTACTTATTTATTGGGCTTAAAGGTATCTAAAATCTAAGGGCCCAATTTATTTTTCTTCTTCAGATTTTTAAATAATTCGAAATTGAAATTTATCTTGTCTTTATTCGATTTGATTATCCAAAATTTTTCGGATATTTTATTCTAATTATCTGAAAATAAAAAAATTGTTTGAATATATGAATTTTCAGATCAAATCACTGGATCAACTTATCAGATTGATCGAATTAGATCTTTTTGTAAACCCCTAAATAAAAGGAGTCAATGGATGGCAAAAGGTTGAGTTTTTTTTTCAATCCGATTCGATTCGAAAATATGTATTCTTCATCCGAATTTGATATGATCTGAAAATAATATATTTTCTAGCTGATCCGACCCTACCCAAAAAATATATATATCCTTCATTCGACTTCGAGCTGATATGAATTTTTAGCGTATAAATCTAACCCAACTAGATTCAGTATAAAATAAAGACTTAATTAAAAAATAATATTTTTTAAAGAAATCACATTATTATCCCCATATCCGGAAGGGACAAAATTTTTTCAACTCCACTCAAACTCAAATCGGCTTGATCTTACCCTTAAAAAATTGGCATGACCTAACTTGATCCCAAAATTATTTTTAAAAAATCGACCCTATCAGATCGGATCGAGTCAGAGCCCGTGAATTTCGGGTTCAATTGAGATCCTAATTCAATTTTTTTTAATTCACTTATTAATTTCAATTATAAAAAATATTATTTTATTAGAAATTTAAATTTGAATACTTATATCCGTAGAATTTATGTATATTCTCAATAACTAAAATAAGGGTAAATTGCACTATTGGTAACTGAATTTACTATCTCTCCTATTTCACTCACTATATTTTTATTTTTAATTTACTATTGAACTTTATATATTTGACTTTTTTGGTCATTCCACCATTAAATAATTAAACGGTGTTATGACATGACAACATACATAAAAATGACGTCTTTTTGAATTCCTTAAAAAATAAATTTTAGATTAAAACAACGTCGTTTTGATCAAAATACGATCATATTATAACGCAGTTAATTATTTATAGATGGAGTGACAAAAAATTCAATCTATAAAGTTCAATGACTAAATTATAAAAATAAAAAGCACGACAAGTGAAATATGAGAGAGAGAGTAAATTTCAGTTGTCAAACATGTAATTTATCCTTAAAATAATTTAAAAATATACTCTCTTTGTCCTATCAAAATTGTCCTGTTTTAAAATTGTGCCATTTGAATTGTACTTATGAAAAATTAACAATTTTTACTAGACACATTTTTCTTGCTACTTTTTTTCTAGTTTCACAATAAAGTAAAATTTAACTTTTTTATGATAAAATTATCGTTTTAATTTTTTTTAACACATCTCTCCTACAAAGTTTTTCTTCTTAAAACTATATAAAAAAAGTCACAATAAACAATATAAATAGTAGTAAGGGAGTAATACTTCATAGTAGAGATGTTCAAAATCGGGTACCCGATTTTTTGGTACCCAAAATTTTTGGATACTAAAGTATCGGCCCGTGTCCCGACCAATGACATATGGGTATCCATAAGTCGAGTATCTGTAAAACTCGAGTACCCCTATTTTCAAGTCAAGAGTACCCGGATAAATATTTTTATTTTTTCTTTAAATTATATTATTATTATTATATATATATATAATTCTAAATTTTAAAATTTAAAGTTCTATAATATATAATTCACACATAAAATTAAAAAAAATTACATAATTGAAAAAATTATTAAATAATAAAATAAAAAATATAATTATATTTCAAGTGTTTAGAAGTTAAAATAAATATTTTAAAAAATAATTTAGGATGTTAATGTGAAATAATTTAAGAAATTAAAAATTTAGAATGTTATGGTAGTAAAATTTAAGAAATTAGGAATTTAGAATATTAGAGTGAAATAATTTGAAAATTATAAATAAACATTTAATATAAAATAAAAATATATTTAATAAATTGGGTACCGAGTCGGCGAGTACCCAATTAAGTAACATTTTGTGACCAGAGCCTAACCCGAAAATTTTAACGGGTCAGGAATCCGACCCACAAATATGGTATTTTTAAAATAAATACCCGATATTTTTTAACCGGATCGAGTCAATCGGGTCAGATATTTTTGAACCCCTACTTTATGGATAAATGGTCGAGATAATGTAAGTGAGATTTTTTAATTTCCAATATAGTACCCCGGGGATTATTTCTCCATCTAGGGTGAATTGAATAATACCAACCTAAAGATAGCAGGTGCTCCACGCGTCTTCAAGCTAAATATGAAGACTTAACAACTGTATGCCATCTTTAGGTTAATGAAGAAGACTCCACGACTACATGACGTCTTCAGGCAAATTGAAAGACCCCAGGAGTGCATGACGTCTTCAGACAAATAAAAAGTCTTAATTCAAAAAATAATATGGTGAATACCTTATATAGAGAAATTATTTTTCCTACAAACCTATATGGACAAAAAAAACAACAACAACATTATTATTTTATTTACCCAAATATTTGTTTACTCTTAGGAAACCAGTATGTTAATGTATTTAGATGTAATGGATTTATTCTCATGAGGTTACTTGATAGGTAGGATGATCCAAAAATAAATTTAATGGAAATGTTGACAAGAAAGATTAATGTGTGCAAGGAATGATGTGTGCGTGGTTGTTTGGTAAGTTGTGTTAAAAATACATTAACATACTGGTTTTCCAAGAGTGAACAAATGGTTGGATATATATATATATATTATTGTGATATTTTATTACACCTTTAGAGATAATTTCTAGAAACTATCATGTCTCTATTAGAAATGGCCTATGGATATTATAAACTATTCATCAGTCAAAACCTCCAAACAGATCCACCGTTTATCGAAACCTCTTAAGAACTTGTTTCCTCTATACCTCTGTTTTGAAAATCGATCGATTCAACCGGGAACGTTGTTACTCCGATTCAATCTAAATCGGTTGAACCGTTATTAGTGAACCGGCCAGAACTGTTGAACCGTTCGAACTGGACCGGCTGAAAACCGAAAAAAAATAGAAAAAACAGGGAAAAACCGGGATTTTTGTTTTTTTAAAAAAAAATTAAACCAAACAACGTCGTTTGTTAAACGAGCCAAGTCAAACTCGAGTATTGCTGAGCTCGACTCGAACTTGAAAACTTTAAAAGTAAGCTCAACTCAACTCAAACTCACAAGTTAAAAATTATCAAGTTCAACTCAAACTCGAAATATAATATTGAAACTTGAACTCAAAAAGGCTTGAACTCAAAAAAAAAATTAGAAGCTCGATTGAAGCCTAAAATTCGAGCTTGATTGAAGTGAAAGAATAGTTCACTCAATGCTCACCAAAAGGCTCCATGATTTTGAATGCCAAATTACCTCTATTATTTATAGAAGTTAGTTGTGATGCGCTTCTATGTTTCTTAGCAATGTGAGATTGTTTTGTTCTCATATTTTCTCTTTAGACTTTTGGGATGCTCTTCTATGTTTCTTAACCATGTGAGATTGTTTTTAAAAAAAATTAAATCAAACAATATCATTTTGTTATGATTTTTTAACCCCAAATTTATTTTTTAATTATAGTTATATAATTATATTTATTATTTAATATGTTTTACCTTAAATATTATGTTGTAGTTAATTTGAATATTTTTTTACTTGATTTTATGGTTTTTAACTTATATATGTTATGACTTGCTTTGAATATGACTTGTGATATAAAAAATTATTTTTTATTAAATATTTTTGGTATTTTTATTTAATTTTTTAAATAATTATGACGTCGTCCGGTTCTTCCGACCGGTCGGACCGGTTCGACCGGTTGAACCAGTAAACGGTAGCATGACCGGTTCACTAACCGGTCCGGTTCTGAAAACCATGCTCTAGACATAATTTCCTAAGTCAACTATAATATATAGACAATACCTTTAACATGTCTATGTGACTAATCGGAGTGAAATCCAAGATCTAAGTGCAAGATCTATTTAGTCAATTAACTTACAAATAGTCATAATTATCCTAAGCATGGCACCATTAGACTAGGGTCACAATAAATGCCCCTTAATGCAACCGAGATGGGGGTTGAAACCTCCATAGCCTCTATATAATCTTCTTCTTTTTCACCCTCATCACCAACTCTCTCATATAGAAACATCAGTCAACGATCGTTTTTTCGTAGGATACGGTTTTCCATCCAAATCAAAAGGGGTGAACCATTAACAATTGATACA